ATGAGAGATGAGAGATGAGAGATGAGAGATGAGAGATGAGAGATGAGAGATGAGAGATGAATGTCCAGGGCTCATGGTAGGGTTGTCAATACTTTAATGTTTGTAATCAAGCAGTTGAAAGGTTGTTGTTGAACATTCAAATTTCTTGTCGGCAGCTCTCAAAATTTTGTGACACAAAATGCCACCTAAAAATGGCCCTCTTGTGATTTCTTTACGAATATATCAAACAAGAAAACCTTCCCACTGAATATAAGCCCTCCCAATATGTAAGCCCAACAAAAAGGCATGTTGAGCAAATATAAGCCCAGGGCTTAATTATACGCTATACGTTTAATTTCCAATCAAAATAACTTACCTACAGCGGTAAATGCAATCTGGTATCCACAAAAGCGGAGACTCTTTCCCTACGTGAGGAGAGAACGATTCAAAAGCAATAAAGTTTAATCAACCATTCTCGTGGGGTTATGTGAATAACACGATTTAATACAATGTGAGACTATAATTTCTGTAATAAGGGCGTAGGCAGGAAGAGGGCCGAGAATATATACCGTATACCGTATAGAATATATACGGTAATTTTAACTTAAACCCCCCTCGATGCTCCGGTGGCCCAAATAAAATGACAGATTTTTGAATGTGTACCCCCTTCCTTCCTTTGGGAAATTCTGGCTATCATACCGGTTGAAAGAAAAAAGCTACTATCAGAAATGAATTGTCCTTCTAAACGGTATTAACCTAGGTTTTTCTACCTCTTGAAAGGACAAAGCTAGTCTCAGAAATGAATTGTGACAAGAAAATAGCGGCTTTCTTACAATATATGGAAATGGCAAATGCAAATGGCAGCGTTATTTTCCCTTGACCCCGAAAGGGCGCCAGGACAGACGGATTGGGTTTTAAAAATGTGTGATTGTTTCAGTTATTCGTGGATTTCTAATTGAATTGATATATGTTTGTTCCTAAAAGGATACTAAATAGTGTTTACTTATCTTTAAAAATAAATAAATTAGAAATAAAATTGCTATGTAAAAAATATTGTTGCAAGGCAAACGTATTTTGTTTACAGGGTCTTTACACATCGAACCTACTCGAACTCCCATAAAATAACAACAGTATTTTTGTGAAGTAAATTCTGCTAATATTAATATACCATTAATGTAATATCGTAAATAGTATATCATTAATATACTATTAATGATATTACATACTTACCACAATCATTTTTGGTGAATAAATCCTTATATCCCTTGTGTCCCTTATAAGCCATTTGGGTTAATTATACTATCATTATTAATATATTATTAATGATATTACATTCTTACAACAAGCATTTTTGGTCGAAGAATCTCATCTGGTAGCAGCCCCGTTCTCGTTCTATATGTCGTGAGGACATCATTTCTGTTGCGAAAACAAAAAGAAATATGAAAATGAACAATGCATATACTTCATGCACGATCAACACCATAATTAATGATTAAAATTGTTTAAGAATATATTACTGAATTAGTCTGTCACCTGTGACTTCTCAGGAAAAAACCCAGTTGCATTATTGCAAAAAGACATGCGAACACCACAGATGTAATAATGTAGTCTGTAGATGAAAGAAGGTAAACAGATATAGGTTTGTAGGTAGGTAGTTAGGTAGGTATGTAGTTAGATAGGTAGGTAGGTAGGTAGGTAGGTAGGTAGGTATGTAGTTAGATAGGTAGGTAGGTAGTTAGGTAGGTAGGTAGGTAGGTAGGTAGGTAGGTATGTAGTTAGATAGGTAGGTAGGTAGGTAGGTAGGTAGGTAGGTAGTTAGATAGGTAGGTAGGTAGGTAGGTAGGTAAGTAGGAGGTTTTGGCTCCTGTTGCATGCAGCTACACACTAGGACTTTATAATATTCAAAGTTACGATCATCCTTGGAATGGAATTTATTCTAGCTACATAGCCAAGTTTATCCCTTATCCTTAATGAGTCTGGTTACCTTGAAATACTTGTAAAACCATAGCCACTAAAAATTAAATGAATATCAATAAGCAGCAAATAGACTAAATAGAAATCCTTGTTATTAACAACAGCGATATTAACAAGAGCAAGCAATGAAATGTATACTATTCATATCATTACTGACGTTAAAAAACTTTATCACAACATCTGTTGCTTTATTATTTGAAATTTGTTTATTCAATTGTGTTGCTGTCCGTTCATGCGGTTCCTTTTCTTTCATCTGTCTCTTTGTTCGCTTGATCTAATTATATAGAGTGCGCAGTTTTGACCCCAGGGGGTAATCTTACCCGTTTAGGGTAGGGAAGTGCCGCTGAACCCACTGAATCCTGGTCCTGTTCCAGAGTAAAATCGCTGAAATCTATACCCTGTTCCGGTATTGCTAAAATGGGTATCCTGTACTAGAGAGGAGAGAGCGTGATTTCATATACCATGTCCCAGAGCGAGCGCGATTTTATATACCCTGTTCCAGAGTAGAATCGCTGAAAACCATGCCCTGTTTGGCGGCACGTACCGGTATAGCGAATATAGGGGAGTACCCCCCGCCCCCCCCCCCACCCCCGTCTCCCCCCGGGGTTTTGACTTAACATGAACTTAGATACAGTTATTTCTACTGGTGTTACCTAGAAATCTGAGGGACCCAAAGATGCACCAACTGATAAAAACTATGCTCATGTTGTAGTTACCATGTGTTTAGCCTTTTTAATGACTAAATTTATTGAAACAAGTCTTACTCTTGCTATCTGATGCCGCTTTAAATCTTTTCTAAGTATACTTCTTAATCATAAGCAAGATCTGCCTTACCGTTCAGACCAGTATTTCCTTCTGTCCCTGCTTTTAGAGTTGAGATCATAACTGGTACTAATATTAACAGCATAACTGTCACCTACAAAAAGTACAATAAAACCAAAAGCTTTTTAAAAAACTACGCTTATGCAATAGTTATACGTGCTTTGGTCAAAAAGAAGGAAAACAATTAAACAACTTTTTAAAATAACTAGACGCCCTCCCGATAACACGCACGAGATTTGCCGTTGCGCCAGATTAGGGACAGTAGGACATGACAACCTCTAGGCATCTGCATTTAAAATGAGATGTTCTTTAAAACCTTAGTATATATTTTCAGGAGGAAAACTCTTTGCATCATCAAAAGCATATTTATTCTCATAAAAACGAAAGCATTTACAAAATGCTTCTCTTGTGCTTCGCTTTATTCAAATACTTCATAGTGGTAAAATAACGATGAATCAATGAAATGCACACACCTGGTAAACAAATATACAGGACACAACGAAAGATGACAG